AGGAATGTGTCTTTGGTGCAGATGCTCTCAAAAAGCGATAAGTGATAAATCATGATCACAGTCACCATAAATACATTCATCAAGAATCATAAGATACAACAACACTTAGTGATAGTCATAGGATATTAGATAAGCAATCAGCATAAATCGTATTAGGAGACAAAATAAAACAGTATGTATCCTAAAGATACAAGCAACAAAGTTATAGCCGTAAGTAGAAAAGGAGAGACTGTAGGTACTAGGGAGGACGAGGAGAATAATAATAATACAGAATTAGTAAATTATTTGACAGGGGGATTATTTGTTTAGCAGAGTGATGGCATTCAGGGAAAAAACTCTCCTTGTGTCTAGTTGTCTTGGTGTGCAGTGCCCTATAGCGTCATTTTGAGGATAGAAGTTGAAACAATTGATGTCCAGGATGTGAGGGGTCCGTAGATATTTTCACAGCCCTCTTTTTGACCCGTGCAGTGTACAGGTCCTCAATGGAAGGCAGGTTGGTAGCCATTGTTTTTTCTGCAGTTCTGATTATTCGAATAACTCTTCTATTTATCGAATGGGGTGTGTTTACCAGGCTGATCACTAAAATATTTACACTGGTGTAAAATAACACTGAAGCTTAACCGTTGCACCCTATGTCAGAGTACATAGGCAGTCCTCAACGTACAACAGTTCGTTCAGTGACCATTCGAAACTTACAATGGCCTGGAACAAAATGACCGGATTTCAGAGTTATGGGCATTGCAGTATTCCCTCCCCCCATATGTTACAAGCTCAAAATTCAAGTGCTTGGCAACTGCTTCATACTTATGACGGTTGCAGGGTCCCTTTGGAGCGCAAAGTCAATGGGGAAGGCAGATTCACTGATACTACTAACTTAACAACCGCGGCGATTCACTTAACAACCGGGTAAAAGAAAGGTCATATAAACAGGGCAAAATTCACGGAACCACTGGTCTCACTTAGTGACCGAAATGCAGGGTTCAACTGTGGTCGTACGCCGAGGACCACTTGCATTGACTGACCTTGGCCTCCGGATCGCTGTTGATGCTACAGGAATCGTCTTCGTCACACTGCGGAACATTTCTGTTGAATAGGAGAGGATAATTTTCCGTTAGACCAAGGTTCGAATATACACCGACAAATCAAAGAAATTCCAAGCTATTACACCAGGGGGCCAGCAACCCACGGCAGATATTGTTTCATCTACAATAAAGCTTGTCAAGATACTTCTACATTTTGGGAATATGACGCATGAATGGGGAGGTAACACATTATGTATAAAGATCAACCTGTCTGTCTATCTATCATTGGAGTAGATCAATCTGTGGCTCCGGAGCCGCATGTGGCTCTTTCATTTCTCTGCTGCAGCTCCCTGTCACTGTTTGGCTCCACAATTGATAGGGCTTTCAGATAGGACAGGTAGAGGGAAAAGGATGCCGCTCTAGGATGAGACTCTATGGTGGGGGAAGCAGACTTCCAGTCGGCCCAAGAATTGAATGGGGAGCTTCCGGTTAGGACCTTTGTGGCTCTTTTAAGTCTTTAAGGTTGCCGACCCTTGAATTATAGGGCAACAATAAAAAAATTAAGGGCCGATACAGCAGTCAGTCGCTGGCAGAGTGTTCGGGCTGCCACAGGCACTCCCAACATGAGAGACGTCGAGCTGGCCATGCCCACCCTGGTCCCCCAAAGTCAAACACAATCCTGACGTGGCCCTCCATGAAATCGAGTTTGACACCCCTGACTTAAATCTTCTTAACTGGAATTAAAACGCGTGGCTTGTTGCACCCGACAATCTCAACACCTTAACCACCATTCTGTTGTGGACCGTCAGCAGACCCGGCGGTCAATTCAGAGAATGAGGAGGTTGGAGAGGAACATGGGCCAGTCCTGGAGTCTGGGGAAGGGCTCTGTGTCGGAGGCAGAGGAGCCATATGCCAGTTATCAGCTGTCTTCGGAGTCAGACATCAGTGAGGCAGANTGAGCCGGTGAGATTTGAACCGCCGAATTGCAGCTAGCAGTCAGCTGAAGTGGCCTGCAGTACTGCACGCTAACCACTGCACCACCTCGGCTCTTTGATGTTGAACCAGGAACTAGAAAAACCCACGTTTAATATTACTTATTATTACAGTTTTCTTGGAATACTTCTGGGAAATGTTCTGCCTTGATTGAAGCTTGCAAAGTGACTGGAGAAAAAATTGGGACGAGAATGTCGCCAGGTGTTGATTTTTCGTAATATGTTCAGTTTTGTAGGTTTTTTAAAAAAAATGGTTTTAATATTACTTTTACTTTTGATTTACAGGCACCTGGAAATGGTTCCGTGATAGAAGGGAGACCTCTAAAAATGCGTTAAATAAAATGAAAAACATGGTCCATATGCCAGATTTAAACCTGATAAATATGTGATTTTTTTAAAAAAAGTATTAAATAAAAGCCCTCTATACCTTGAAGAGCTAAATTTACTACCAGGGACATATGGCTTACTTTGCAAATGTAACCGAAGGAAGAAAAAGATACAGGATTGTATTATTAGTAACAACTGTTTGTTTCTCTGCTTTAATTGGGGAATTTACGCTTCGAAGCTGCCAATGTTACAGATGTACTGGCGTAGCTTAAATCTGGAAGGCGTGTCAGAAGGCCTATATATATATATGCTACGGAAATATGTGAACAGGGTTGATAAATGGACACTTAAAGCTTGAAAATTAATGTAGAATGTGCAACTCCTTAGCATCAGAGTGTGCTGATATAAGGCAACTGGTAGTTGGAACAGAGTCTTTTCAGGTGGGGAGGGGGAGTAGAATGTCTAACTTCTTAGCATCAGAGCGTGCTGATATAAGGCAACTGGCAGTTGAAACAGAGTTCTTTTCAGGTGGGGAGGGGGAGTAGAATGTCGAAACTCCCAGCCCGCATGCCCACACCCAGTTTAGCAAAGGGGTAACATCAGAGTGTATTAATATAAGGCAACTGGCAGTTGGAACAGAGTTCTTTTCAGGTCGAGAGGGGGAGTAGAATGTCGAAACTCCCAGCCCGCATGCCCACACCCAGTTTAGCAAAGGGGTAACATCAGAGTGTATTAATATAAGGCAACTGGCAGTTGGAACAGAGTTCTTTTCAGGTCGAGAGGGGGAGTAGAATGTCGAAACTCCCAGCCCGCATGCCCACACCCAGTTTAGCAAAGGGGTAACATCAGAGTGTATTAATATAAGGCAACTGGCAGTTGGAACAGAGTTCTTTTCAGGTCGAGAGGGGGAGTAGAACTCCTTAGCATCAGAACGTGTTAATTACTGTATAAGAAATATTAATGATCAAAAAATCCTTTATTAGCGAGCACCTAGAAGCCAAGAGGAACATGCGTGCCAAATTTCAGGTTTGTAG